CGCAGCCTCTGCGCCGGTGGGGCGCCGAGTCTTTCCTACCGGGAGCTCAAAGACTTGAAGAAGGCCAACGTCCTCCACATAGATGTGCGGGAGAGGTGGGAGATCGACAAATTTGGGAAAATCCCGGCGTCCATCAACATACCGCGTAAGTTGGGGCGTTGGGTGTTGGCCTGTGGTTTGATGGTCATGTCTGCGGGCGAGTGGCGGTGGCAGGGCACAGAGGAGCTGTACGAGATGGCTGTAGCATGTTGTGAGGCTAAACCTGTCCTCCAGAGGAATCGGAAAGAAGTCGTACAGCGTGAGCCTGCCTGTGGATGGAGAATAAATGAGACTTTTTTTTTTTTTTTTTCCTTCCGTATTTCACAGTGGGTGAATTAGTGGAAGCGCTACAAATGGACCCAACGGAGTTCAAGGAGCAGTACAATCAAAAGATGCCAGCCAAGTCGGACCCTGTGGTTTTCTCCTGCTTGGCAGGAACGAGAAGTAAACAAGCACTCGGTTTTGCCACGTCCTTGGGTTTCAGCAGGTAAGCTTCTGTGTGTAGGGATGGCCTCCCCCTGTGGAGTAGAACTCTTAACTTGGCTTCTTATGGCCCATATGCTTATGTGGAATATGAACAAGGCGACTAGTATTTGAGTTAGACACCTTCTCGAGTCTCCACAGAACCTTGAAATATGCCGTTGGGTGTTCCAGCAAAGTGAGGTGTATCACCCTGTGAAACAACCCCTTGGCAGCTCTGCGCATGTGCCACAGGTGACACAATCTGCTGTAAGACCATGCTGCCGCCACTGAAGGGTCCTTCTGCCTCTTGGGGGTCCCTTACCAAGGTGTTGCTTCTTTATGCAGCTTCATAAGCACTAGTCCTGAGATGCAGGATGATTGGAAAGGTGAAGAACTGCTCACTTTGGGAGAAGTGCAATCTTGGATTAAATAGTTTATGAAACCACACTCTTTATTGAATTTCAGTTCCACCTGTACTGTTCACTGTTGACAAAGTACACCCTCACTTTCAGTAAAGCATTGGATTGTTTGCCAGGAGTAAAGCAATGAAGGCAATTAGCTAAAAAGACAATGACATTGATAAAGTGAAAGCAAAACCAGCGTTTGGTCTGCAGAATTGTTGCACCTGTGCCAGAAGGTGCCTGGCTGGCTTGAAGACTGCAGATAGAATTTTAAAAATTGGTTGTTTTATCATGTTTTTGCTGAACTGCAATTCATGAACCGGAATATCCCTGCTAATTCTAGTCAAAAGTATGGAACCACATTCTTGTTTTATAAATACATTGTTTTAATAAGTGCAAAATATCCTCCATTACCTGTTTCTTGTGCTGCTTAATTGAAGGAGTCAGTATTGTTTTGCATGGTGGGGTTTTGTTTTCCAGAGTTTAGTTTCATGCAGGGTTATGTCAGATCTGTAGAGTATGTAGGTTTGCAAGGAAGTAAAGAAGAGTGTGCTGCATTTATTTGAGGACATCTGAAATATTAGATGTAATAACATGCAAATTTCCCACCACAGTGAGTCTTTTCTGTCTTTTTAAAAAGAAAAAAGAAGTGGCAAACTGTTCCATTGATCTGGCTGCTACTACTTACTTTGTGTTTGATCTCTAGCATTGTGTTATTTGGAAGAAAAGACTTACAGAACACACTGTGTGGAAGCAGGCAGCATTAGAGTAAAAGGAATGTTGATCTGGCTCATTGAAGCTAGGTACAAGTGTACTTGATTGCAGAGAATTTCTGTATGTTTTTTTTCTCTTGATTTTTTTTTCATTTTGGTTTGGGTTTTTTTTGCCATGTCCTCTTAGATACCTACCCTTTTCAAGAAGAGTCCTTCTCAACATTGTATCTTCGGCATATTTTCAGAGTACAGCAATATGCTGGCGGCTTCGAGGATTGGGTAAAACATGAACCTCCAGAGAAAAAATGAAGATGACTACCTCAACTCTTGCCCCATCAAGGCTTCAGGATGGTTTGTAGGTTTTAAAACTACGTGCATTCCACTTCCAGAATACAGCCCACTCCTGCTTTCTTGTGTAGATAGATATGCATCTCTAAATAGGCATGCATATCGACTGCTTGGTTTAACATATCTAAAGACTATGACATGAATAAAGGACAGTAAATTTGTTCAACCTTTACTTTGGGCTATGTTTTTTGGTGAAGGTATGTGGTGGGAACCTAAATGGTTATTATGTTTACTAAGATTTTTTTATAATGTAGTTTATGACTATTTAAACTAATGATGATAGGACAAATAAAATTATCCTTTCCCAAATAACTGTGTTGGGTAGTTTGTTTATAATAGTTACACTGCAGCTCTTCTAATGGAATCGGGGTAACTGCCCTAAGCACAGGTTTATTATATTTCATGTGTAGCTGGAGTTTTAAAATAGTTGCTGTGTTATTAAAGAGAACACAGAGGGTACCAATTTTTAGGTTTGTACTATGTGATTGTAAGGCCAAACTTCATTATTGGTCAGAAAATACAAAGGGAAACTGACCTGATGCTATAATACTTGCTGTTCAAAATGTTGTGTGATTCCTTATTTTAAAAGTATATCCATTTTTATCCACAGATCTGCTTCTGAGCACAAAATGCTATACATTCAGTCAACAACTTACTTTCCTTCAGCAGCTCAGTATCCAGTGAGAACTTGCCTATACTATATTATTAGAGAGGTGTAATCATTTTAGGCTGGAAAATTTGAGGTGTCCAAGGAAGTTATAAAACTCCCTTCCTTCTTTTATGTACGTTAATTTGTGTGTCTTAAACTTTAAAAAACAAACCAACCTATCCCATCCCCACCTACAAATTTGCATAGTCATAATTTTAAGATTTGTTTGTTTGCTTTTTAATGCTGTTAGCAGTTAATGGGAACTGGCAAAGGTGAATTCCTTTGGCCTCTGGAAAATTTAAGTCTTAGCACAGTTGTTCAGGACTCTGCAGGATGTCTGGAAGAAAGGAATTAAAAATTTCTGGTTCTGCTCTATTTAGTATTGCAGGCGACGTGCATTTATCCTACAGCTCTTCCACTCTGACAGTGTAGTCTGCACGGTGAGAAGAGGACCTAAAAAATGCACCCTCTCAAATTTAGAGAACAGAGAAGAAAAATTAACTAATCTTCCTGGAATTTTATTTCTAAGCAGTCCCACAGTCTCTCTGCAGTCATTTGTTTCTAGAGGAGAACTCCTGCAGTTGGCACAGCCAGCTGTGTTAGCCGTGCTGCCCTGACTGTGGATCTCGCACGGGTTTCTGTTCTCTCGTCTTTGCTAATAGAGACCCTGTAGTGTAGCTGTCACTGAGTGCATTTGTTGTCAAAGTTGTAATTTACTTTTTAGTGGTCTTATTGCTATACTTTATTTCCAATCCATAAAAAAAAAAAAAAAAAAAAACCAACAAAGCAACTTAAGAATGTGAATTTAGACTAATTTCTAAAACACTGGTTTAGTTTAACTGATGAATTAATGGGATAAAATGCCAGGGCAAGTATGAGTGTTACCTGTTGCGGTTGATTACTCTGCAATTCTCACTATCTTACTCTTGAAGGGTCTTCTGCAGACTGGACCAGGAGAAGTAACAGATGTCAACAGTTTTGTTAGATTTAGCCAAATCCTATAATCTATTAATTCTGCCTGATTAACATGACCTAGACTGTCAGTTTGACAGTGCTGTGGGCACATAGTCAAAGGGGCAACTGAAGCCCACTGTTGGCTGTGTTGTGCCAGGTCTCACCAGGACTAACGATGCCTTTTTGATTTAGATCATTAAGGTCAGATTGCATAGAAAATTTGGAAATATTTAGCTAAATGGGTAATTAATGATGCCTAGCTGTATTGACCAAGCCACCAAACTTCAGCATACAGATGAACAAAGCAAGATCTAACCAGCTCAACTTAGTCACGATTTAGTCACAAGTGCACAATGTTTCCTTTTGTAGCCACATTGAAGTTTGTTGGGAACATCTAAAACTACATAGCCACAAAAAATGAACAGCAAACAGTCATATTGCATCACACCAACACGTGTTTAGCCCATCATGTCCTGTTCAGCAGCAACTGCTAGTAAACATCTGAGGAAGACCATAAAGCAGGGTATGTAGTGATACAATCCCCAGATTATCCTCATTTACAACTCGGAGTGCTTTGATACTTCCTTCAGGCTTTGCATGTCTTGGTATGTTTGGGTATTTGTAAATTTTCAACACAAACTCCTAGCAGGCTGCACTGGCTTTAACAACACGTTGTGAAAGAAGTGTTTCCCTTTGCTGCTTCGCAACCTGCCACGTAGTGTTTTCATCCAGTGCTCCTGCTTCTTCTGTCAGAAGTGGTGAACAGTCTTCACACCGCTCAAAAATCTTCTAAACTTCTGCTGTCTTTTCTAAGCAGAAGAGTTGTGGTTTTATATTAATAGGAAAGCCCCTATATACCTGTATTTATTTTCATTAGTTTTTATTAGTTTTGGTAGTTTTTTGCAAGGTGCTTCTCATACTATTTGTAGTTTGTCAAAGTTGATGGTCCTTTCTGTGTCCTCCTCTGTATCTTCCCTATGTGGATATAACTTGCTTTTCACATGATGCTTTTTGAATTAAATAACTTGTCTGATCCAGTTGACTTTGCTTCCTTTTAGATTTTTCCTTAAGTCCTTTTGGCACAGATGACCTGTTTGCTTTGACACTTGCTGTCACCTATAACCATATAATCTGTGAAGAGTTTCAGATATCTCTCTTTTAAGGAGATACCCAATTTTTATGCATTTCTCTGATTTGAAATGAAGCACAGTAAAGGGGATGTTTTCTGTCTGATTGGTAGTAAAGCTGTTCAATTCTTATTACGTTCCATTTCCCGTTCCAATTTACATCTTTCTTTTTATAACTGTTATCTCTGAATCCAGTTCCATTGACTGCTCTTAATTGCCTTTCACTATTTATATTGGAATCAGAGCTGCTAAAACTATCCTCACCTCCTCAGTAGAAAAATGACTTAAGATACTTCTATTTACCATCAAGAAGTGCCTGACACTTCAGCTCTGAGGTTTACGTCACATAGGTAATTTAGGTGTGAAGTCAAGTCTGCAAGGGCTCTTGAGCAGCAAGAAAACTTTCAATCACTCCAGACAGAATTCTTCATAAATAGCGTGAAATCCCTAATTTCAAAACATTAGCTTTCACAGCAGATTATGTGGTATATGTGAGAAGACTGATGTTTACCTAAAGAACAGTTCCTGTTTAAGAACTCCACACAGTGGTCAAGTTGCATTGATTTATTTCTAGTCCCCAAGTCCACATACAAATAGCACATTTTAGACTTCAAGAAACAAAGGCAAATAGCCAAATTCCAATTCATCAATCAAATGTCTATAAAAAGTATGGGTCAAATGGCAGCAAAAATAGCAAAGACCAAAATGTATATATTTTCTGTCTCACCAAAGTGGTTTGGGCTTGTTTACCTAATGTTTTACAAAAATAAACTAAACAGAAATAAATGCTAGTAGCCTAATGGGCTACATGCAAACACACTTCAGTTACATTTCACTGAATGACCAGCCAATTACAAAGACAGATATTTGCAAAAAAACAGTTGTTTGTTTTTTTTTTTTAAGGGGCCAGTTTTTGAACCAAGACGCATCAGAGAGCAAGGGTTTTCAAGAGTTTGCCTCCAATATTTCAGACCAATGAAATGTGTTGCTTCAGGGAAAAAAAAAAAAAAAAAAAAAAGGGAGAACGATGTTACTGCACTTTATTTTATCATTCAATTTTTATACTTGGGCAAGTCGGCATTATTACTCAAAATGAAGTTGTACAGAACTTAATTAAAAACAAAGTTATCTAAAAATCAAGAAATTCGATTTAGGCCAATTCCTGACTTCAGTGGGATATCTGCCTGAGTAAGGAACACAGGATATGGCCTTCTGTTTGAAGGAATCTCATTTTCTCCAGCACATAATTAACCAAGGAATCCCATTTCAGTTATTCTAAAGAGTTGCTCCTAACATCACAATTATAATTAACCAGTATGAAGCTCACCAAAATCTTGATCCTCTTAAATAAACTCTCTAATGAACCACACAAATTCACACTAACAGCGAAGGCAGACTAACAGTGTATATCTTTTGTACCAAAAAAAAAAATCCACCATAAAAAATAGCAATCATATCCAGATTCGTACTTGATTGTGAAATATTCCAATTGTACTATACAGTACATTTACTTGCAAAAAAAAAAAAATCATAGTATGTTGGGTTTTTTTCATTCCTAACACTTGAAATGTTTTAGAAAACTGCAGAATCACTATACATATTGCACTTCTCTGGTAAGCTGGGCTACTATGCTTCATGGCAAAAACATCCAAGTACATCTACTGAGTAAAACAGTATTTTTCTAATTCAAAAAAGGAACTGAATTTCCTTCCTGCAGTTTTCATTAAAACTGTAATAATACTCTCTGCAGACTCTTCTAGGCTTTGTTTCTGAAGGATTGCTGTGTTACTTGTTACAGAATCCGTATTTATTTTTTAAAAAAATCAACCAAATTCAAGGTAATGGATAGATTTAACATAGAGTGCACTATCTTCCTTCAGTCACAAACAAAATGAAGACAACACAATTCATTAATACAGTTACACTTAGGCTTCAGGTTACTGTCGCTTTAAAAATAGTTCACTTCAATGGCAAGTTACAATTTTCTCAAAGCAAACAAAACCAATAATGAACTATTTGTTTTGAGTGGATAGTGTTAATCTTTTGCAGCTTGGTTTAATGTTTGATTCCTTATACTGAAAAACCTTAGTACATTTGCTCCAGCGTCAGAGAAAATGATGCAGTTTTAGAGAAAAAGCTTTCAAAATGCTTGACACAAGCAAGCTATTTATTCTTCAAGTTCTTTGTCGATGTTACTACAACCTTCTGTCCATTTCATGAACACAGGAAAG